CACACACACACACACACACATATATATATATATATATATATTCCGTTATATATTCATTGTTACGTACATCCATGATTGCTAAAAATGTCTTATCGATCCATCGATAACTTCCATTGCTAAAAATATATCGTCGATCCCGTTACCATTCCCCTTCAGCTATAATGCTACCTGGGTTTTTGTATATATGTATCAGATTATTTCTTTTGATCGCTACAGTTTCCATCGCTACAAACTTGATCGCGTGCTTAAGCATAGAGCTTTTATATCTCTACGGACGCTTGCCATATCTTTTCTGTTCTCTAACTTTTTTACAAGGACAACTAAACTGTGACAGAATCGCTACACTCCTCGTCTAAACTATAGCAGTGCATATCCTCGCCCTCATCTACGTCAGCGCATATCATCGTTCTTTTCACTTCAACACCATATAAAGTAATTTTTTTCTTCTTCATAAAAAGTACATTTTTCTTTCTTTCTACAACAACAGTAACAGCTGTTCGAAAAAGATGCATATACATGAGCTTTCATCTCATCTTGCTGAGTGAGAGTCAAAACGGCCCGATTGTTAATATACTCAAACTTGAACGCCGGAAGCTAGCAAAGGTTTTGACACAAAATACTCTATTACTGCTCTATAAGTGACCACCACCTTGGTGATGCGAACATATTAAGTTCAACTCACTGCGCTGCCGCGTTTTGAGATGTGAGCTGTGAGTTATCAGTATTCCCAACTCCAGTCTCCAACTCTCCACAATGGCTGAATGCGTATAGTCATAGGGGTGATTTATAGTAAAATATGTCTCAACAGCTCAACCAGTATTTACAGGCAGATGGTTCACGCCCTTAGCCCTATCACCATCAAAAACACACACGTATACACACACACACCCACATACACACACACTCTTTCTCTCGCTCTCACACACATATATACACACATATATACACAAGTACACCACAAACACTCTCACGCACACTTACTCACAATCACATTTACATTCACATTCACATTCACATTCACGCTCCCACTCAACTTTCAGGTATATATATGCATACACACACACTCACACGCACACTTACTCACAATCACA